TTTCTAATTCCTTATGAAAACGAAAAATGAATTTCCCGCGTGGCCCACACGCGCGGCCCGTACGACACAGCGAGCGCACAATGGCCCGCTGGCGCTGCCCACGCGAGGCAGGCTGCTGGCGGAGAAGTCCTGCGTGTTGGCAATTTTGCAAAAGAGACCTCGAACTCCTCCAAATTTACAACTAAGTACTAACACTATTTTCCCCTCTCTCAAACCTTCTCACTTAACCCCTAGCTTTTTCCTAATTCACCCACCGCACCCCCGACGACTCAGTGCACGGCGACGCGACAGGCGGTGACACGGCGCGACCGTGCCGGCCACCAGAGGCTCGCGCTAGCCTGTCAGTCGGGCCGACCTTCAACAACGGTCCAACCACCTACACCAAGCAGCAACGTGGGGCGGCAGGACACGTTGGAGCGAGCTACAGCGATGCGCTCGGCCGTCCGCGATGGCGGCGCAGATGCCCCAGTGATCTAGAGCATCTAAGAACCTAACTAGCTAGTGAGGGAGCATCAGTAGACTACCATAGACCTAGCCGAGGTGACAATTGGGGTGGAGGATGGCGGAGGAGGGCTGGCCACGTGCGGCTGAGCCATGCGGCCACACACCGCGGTGACACGATCGCGTCAACGACAACGGGGAGGTGGTAGCGGTTCCACTGGCGTGCGCAAGGTGGAGAGGGAGGCAAGGTGAAGCTAGTGGTGCAGGTGAATTGGCTCGGGAGGGACGGTAGAAGGGCTACCCTCGACCATGGCCGAGCGCGGCCTTAATGGCACGGCGGTGGGGAAAATTCCAAATTGTAGTTTGGCCGTGCTCACTTCAAGGCTGGGTGGGGTCGGGCAGCGAGAGGACGTGATGGTGAAGCCATGGATGCGACGAATTGAATGGAGGTGATCTCTCGCTAGGTAATTTGATGGTGCAGCTCGACGGCGGCAACAGAGGGAGAAAGAGAAAGAAAGAGAGATGGTGCGGCAAGTGGGCTCGTCTCGGTCTTGCCTAGGTGGGACATGGTCGGCATGATCGTGAAGGCACGCAGCAGACGCTATGGGCAAGCGCGTGTGTCCCCGACCGGCATGGCCCGCGTGGCCGTAGAGTCATCAATGACAAGGCGACAACGAGCTCAGCCACGTGCGCGCGACAGTGGCGGCCTCAAACTGGGCCGGCAGCGGTGCAGAGGGTACAACGGACAGGCATGGACACGACAACGATGCGATGGTAGCGGCTGCATCATGGCATGAGGCGGGTTGGTAGTGCGGTGAGGCCGCAGTGCGCGGACGCGACGACGAGGTGATGACGCCGGTAGTGGCTTTGTCGTGGCGCGGGGCAGGCGGCAGCAGCTCTGCGTGGCGGGGCCAGCGGCAACTAGGCCATAGCCAGGCCAGAGGCAGCCACGGCCGGCCACGTGCGGCAGCGCGCGCGCACGACCAGTGCGGTGACTCCGAGCGCCCGAGCGTGGTGGCGCCCACGTGGCCAACCAGCCCGAGACCGAGTCGTGCATGAATTTTAAAGCACCCATAACAACTAAACGGTTGCTTTAGGAGCCAAATCATCTTCATCATGCTCAAGATGGCATATGAGGATACTAAACCGAGCTAAAACTTAACACCTTTTCTTAATCCGATTTCACAAAATAAACTGCCAAATATGGCATTGTCTTGTTGTCTATGAACTTGAAAATATTCTAAGTCTTTGAGCTAAACTTGATTTCAAGTTGCATTTCTAGGCTATTAGAAATATTAGCTAGCAATGTTATTTTTCTACAGCAATTATTTCATTGTCATCTATAAAGTTCATATTTCAAACTTTATTTAAGCACACCACATATGTTCTATAGCATTTTTGTTCAATAAAAATTAGTTTTAAGCCATACATATGGGTTATGGAATAGCTTATCATTTAACCTTTTTATTGATCATCTGAAGTTACAAAAATGCTATCTACACATTCCATCACATGCATTATCACATAAACATGATGCTCATGATATGGTTTAGTAGTTTGTTTAAGGCATAACACCGAGGGTGTTACAGCAGACTACGGTCCCTGTTCAACGGTGAATGCAAAGCTGGTATGGATTCCCTTTTCGCCTTCGTCTCCTGGCAATTATGGAAGGAATGGAACGCTTGATGCTTCCAGGAATCGGCAACCACGGTCAGCGACCTGCTTTAGATCATCAAAGCAGAAGCGGACCGGTGGATTCAGGCGGGAGCTTTAGGGTTGAGAGCACTAGCACAAGGCTAATGTTGCTATAACCTCGCATGGGACGTAGGTTGTTCAATTACAAAATGTAGCCCGTAACAAAAAGCTAACGACCGGGAGCGGAACTCTTGTAATTTTAAACTATTTTCCTTCTAATACAATGATACGTACTCTCGTGCATATTCGAGAATTTTTTTTTTGGCAAAGGTCTGAACCTTTGGTTCACTCGGACAAAGCATGTCCTCATTTTTTCTTAAAAAAATATATGGCACGTATTTTGTTTATAGCAACTTTTAACACTAACCTATGCGGCTAACCTAAGGGGCTTGTGGTCGGAGCAACCTTCAAATCATGGTATTGTATTTACTTTTGATTTGATAGCTCTCCCTTTTGAGAGACTAATTTTTAGGTTCAATTGACTCTACATCTTAGTGCATGAAAAAGAGAAGGGCGGTGGAAATATAAAAGTAGGGGCCCTGTGCATGAGGTCTCTCATACGAAAATTTGGGTAACCTAGTTTTGAAGGGCCTCTATGGTCCTATTGGAGCAAGATTTTTGTCTAGGGGTGAATCCAATACAAATTATCATGGGGGTCTTTGTCTGAATGTGGATGGAATCACTAGAAACTATTAGCACAATATACAATATATTTTTTCCATTGAAATTTTGAAGATCGTCGCGGTCGGTTGACCCCGGTGGCAAACCATAGATCCACCCCTATTTTTGCCCCTCAGGCCTAAATTGTGATAGGACCGTGTAGGAGTTGCTTTTGCATACATAACACAAAGTATTTTTTAGATAATGAGTAAAATATCCGACCTCATCGACAAGGATGCACCTTTGGATTGAGAATCCTAGAGACTCTCCTTGTGGAGCTCGTTTTTTACCACCACAAACGACTTCACTCGGTGAGTGAGGCAATGGTCCTCAATCTTGTTTGTGGGGAGGATGTCTTGGAGGAGGTAGTTGAAGTGTGGCCGAGTCCAATTGGAGTAGGGTGTCATGATGGCCTAGTCAAGGCCCATGAGGTGGAGGGTTGGAGACTTGGAGTCTTTGCCCCCTGGCTAAAGTTGGCTATCGCACCTACCCAGTCAAAGTTGGAGTGATAGGGAGTCAGGGCCTCAAACTTTGGGTCAAAGTCATCGTCCAATCAGACAAAAGGGGCGAGTCAAGGAAGGATCCTGGTCAGGACCATCTCCCTAGCCAATAAGGTTTTGGCCAGGGCGTCGGCGGCCTCATTGTTGTGTCGGAGGACATGATGGATTTCAAGCCTATCAAATTTGTCCTCCAACTTACAACCTCCTAATAGTAGGCTTCCTTCTTGGGATCCCTACATGAGGACTCATTCATCACCTGATTGATAATAAGCTCGGTGTTGCCAAGAACATAGAGTCAGCGAATGCCATGTGTCATGGCGATTCAAAGGCCATTAAGTAGGTTTTGATGACATTGTTAGCTGCTTTGAAGTGGAGCTGGATTGCTGGAGTGCATACTGGAGTCGGTCCTCCTTCTAGGAGATAAGGACGACGCTAGCCCCCGTGCCCTTTAGCATTAACAATACGTCAAAATACATCATCCAAGACCTGCGACTTAATGGCTATGTAAGGGATATAGGTGATGCTATGTCCCATGAGTTCGAGTGAACACTTCACAATCTCCCTAAGGTGTCTTTATTATTGATAACCTCACTAAGGGGTAAGTACGTCACCACAGAGACGAAAATGGTGGTAGAAGTAGTGTAGGGGCTCGCGCCTAACGATGAGGGCACAAAGTAGCATCTTCACCGGGGGGCAACAAGTCTTGGAGTCAGACAACAACTCACTAATGGAATAAACCTTGCGCTGCACTTTGAGGACATGGCCCGGCTCCTCATGCTCGAGAACGAGGGTGGCACTGACAACCTGGGTCATTGTCGCAATGTAGAGGAGTAGTGGCTCATCTATCATCGGGGACACTAGGACTGCTGGGGTGGTCAGAAATGTCTTGAGCTAATCAAGTGCCACCTCCAAGGTCCAATAGAATCGATCCGAAGGAACTTGTATAGGGCCATGCCGCGCTCTTTGAGTTAGGAGATGAAGCAATTGATGGCCGTCATGCACTCTGTGAGCTTCTGTGCCCCTTTGAGGCTACTGGAAGGCCTGATCTTCATGATCATCAAGATTTCTCCAAATTGGCCATGTTCGGAGATGACAAAGCCGAGTATTTAACCCGGTGCATTCCAAAAATCCATTTTTTGGGGTTAAACTCGATTCTTGAACCGCGAAAGGTTCGCGAAGGTCTTCTCTGGGTGGACTATGCGCTGGTCGGCCTTCCTAGATTTAACAACGATGTTATTGATGTATGCCCCGACGTTGCTGTCGGTTTGGATCCGAAAGTACTTCTGCATGCACCGTTGGTGAGCTCACGTTCTTCAGGTTGAAAGACATCGGGAATTCGGGATATAGCAGAAGAACTAAAGGGGTCGATGAAGGAGGTTATGGAGGGCACGAGGGCATCGCAGGTCCGGACGTCGGGTTTGGGCCACCTACTACTCCCCCGAGCACCGCATCGGCCATCGGGCATCGCATCGCGTGCTTTCCCTGCCGCAGCGGCTAACGCGTGGCCACGCCATCCCTCCGCGTGCCTAATTAATTGGGAGTGGGAGTGATAGCTGCAGCACCCAGCGCCCATCCATCCATCCATCAGTGACAAGTGAGCGCACCGGCACGCCGCCCATCCATCGCCATCCTCTTCCTCTCTCCCCCCCTAGCTAGTCCAGTCCAGAGGAACCCTAGCCTCCTCCTCGCCAAATCCACCACACCATGAGCGCCGCCTCCAAGAAGCTCTTCCAGGCCGCCAGGTCCCTCATTCTCTCCGCTTCTCAGCGCTCCTCCGCCGCCGCCGTCATCGCCGCCGGTATGTACTATTCACTAACTCTTCCTTGGGCCAGCCGCCAACCCTTGGATCCCTGTGGAATGCCATGCAATCTAATCCATTCCTACACTAGTATTCCCAATCCAAATCACGCCGGGAGGCGGGAGTTGCTGATTGATTGTTCAAAGGTTTCAGCTTTTTAACTAGGAGCGGGAGATATATAAAATAAAATCCGTCTTTGATGTGAAGTGCAGAGGGCCGCACCGCCGCGCTCGCCACGCTCACCAACTTCGGCAGGAAGACCCTCCCCACCGCCTACTCCTACCACAGGCAGGGATCCCACCACGCTGCGTCGGGATGGGGAGCCATCGCCGCCGCACTCCCGGCTGCAGGTTCGTACATACCCGTCGATCCGATATTCCGATTCGACCCCACCCGATCCCATCACTCTGATCTAACACCAATCACTCTGATCCCATATGCTTGTTGAAATGAATGAATTAAACCCTGTTGCGATTCTCACTCTGACCCAAATAATTCCCTGTCTGTCCTCTCCCGATGCAGTTTACATGCTCCAGGACCAGGAGGCTCATGCTGCAGAGGTACCCTACCCTGATTCTCTCCTCTTCTCGTCTCTTCTGTTTTTTCCCCTCGCATTCTGGCGGATCCGTGTGGTCCAATAATACCGGAGCAATGGCCACTTTTCTCTCTAAAATCACTGCTTCACCAATCACCATGCTGCCTATATGTCAGGCAGGGTAGGCCAACTCAAACTGATTGAGTGGGCTCCCATGTAATTTTGTCATCCTAATTACAGAATGCCCCACCTTTTCCGTCTCCAATTGACATGACCGTGGAGGAGTAATGTCATGTGATCTCTTTAATTTTTTTCCCTTTTCTCAAGCTCACTAACACTCCTCTGCTGTGATTCCAGATGGAGCGCACCTTCATCGCCATCAAGCCCGACGGCATCCAAAGAGGCCTGGTTAGTACTAGCAACTGTCACAACACCATAGTTTCTTTTCTTCAGATGCAATTCTGGATCCTAATAACCAGTATGCAACTATGCATGTATGTTGCCACAATTGGTAGCTGCAGAATTTCTTTCTTTACAACTTTTGAGGCCTTCTGCTCTGTCCTGTCCTGTCCTGTTCTTGGCCATATAATAATTATTATTTGTAGCTTCTTGAGACGCAATTCAGGATCCTAGTAACCTACTCCCTATGTTCCAAATTATAAGACAGTGTGTACATCTAAGTGCATAGCAAAAGCTACACATCTAGAAAAGCCAAAACTTCTTATAATTTGGAATGGAGGGAGTACTAGCTTCGTACTGCTTTTCATATACTCAGTTAGCATGTATGCTGCCGCAATAGGTAGGTACACACTACAAACTTTTTGTTTTACAATTTTAAGGCCTTGTGCTCTTTTCTGTTCTTTTCTTGGCTATATATATATGTAAATCAACCCACTGCTGCTTTCAACACGCTTCACCTACAGTATACTCTGCATGCTGACATTCTTTTTCTTTTTGGTGTCTGATCTTGCCACGTGATCTACCTCGAGATCCTCATTAGCAACTTATTTATGCTGCAAACCATGTGGATACATAGGACAAAAGCTTGCATACGTATTATGTAAAGAGAAATCTGTCCTATCTATTTAGCTCTTCCTATTCCTAAAGGGCTGGGCCTTTCTCCTGATTTCACTGGTATCAAAAGTGGGTTCTCTAGCGCAATACATTGCCTGGTTTAACACACCAAACAAAATATATGCAGGCTGACATGTGAACCATTTCAGTTATTCAGCCCATCACACATTTGCTCTGTTTAGTCTTGTCCCTGTACATTTGTGATGGCATTAATAGGACTGATTTATCTCTTCCCCCCCAAAAAAAACCCGCTTCAGATTTCTGAGATTGTGAACCAATTTGAGAGAAAAGGCTACAAGCTTGTGGCCATCAAGCTGATTGTTCCATCCAAAGAATTCGCTCAGAAGCACTACCATGATCTCAAGGAAAGGCCTTTCTTCAACGGGTTGTGTGACTTTCTCAGCTCTGGCCCTGTACTTGCAATGGTAAGAACATCTGTCATTTCCCTACAGAAATTGTGCTTACATCGACAAAAGGTGTATCGTGCATAAGCTGGGGTACAATTTCTGTAGGTGTGGGAAGGAGAGGGTGTCATCAAGTATGGGAGAAAACTAATTGGTGCCACAGACCCACAGAAATCTGAACCAGGAACCATCAGGGGTGATCTTGCCGTTGTTGTTGGAAGATATGCTTTCATTTTCTTTTCAACGCACTCATTGGTTTTGCATTTCTTTGATAGCGTCATGCAAGCTTATTACAAGTTAGGATTCCTTTGTACTCACATGCCACCACTTGAACACCAGAAACATCATTCATGGAAGTGATGGCCCGGAGACAGCAAAGGATGAGATCGCTTTATGGTTTGAACCCAAGGAGCTGGTCTCTTATACCAGCAATGCGGAGAAGTGGATCTATGGGGTGAATTAACCGGCGAGTCACTTTCTTTTGTTTTTCCTTTTGCTTTCAGTTTTCACATAATTGCCTGACAGACCAAGGCAGGATGTAATAAAGTCGCTACCGTCACTTTTGAGTTGGATCGTGACCTTCTGGTGCAGTAAGGCACAAGGAAGGAAGGAAAGGAAAGGAATATACCGTGAAATATAGAGCGTGCACTGAGTAGTCGCGATGTTCAAATCAAACTATATATCACCTTCACTGGAGTCATGTAATCCAAGATGGCGATGCAGATGTTTCTTTGGAATTATTTCTACATATCCCTACCATGATGCTGGCCCGCTGTCTGTTTTTGCTCTTGTTTTTGGGTGAGAGGGTAGATATTATTCAGGAGTTATGCGGGGGGGTTTTACAACAGAATTATGGGATTAGGCATTACTTGTGGTGAGACTTTGGATCTATTATACAAATCCCAACCACCATGATGGCTCACTTTTTAGCCCTTAGTTTTTACTCTTGTTTTTTTTGGGTGAAAATGGATTAATTAGGCTCAAAACGGCAATTTTAGATATTATTATGGAGCTATGGGATTAGACATGGTGAGACTTAAATCACTACCATCACGATAGCTTACTGGCTATTTCTGCTCGTCTTTGGGTGAGAGGGTACATGTTATTCTGGAGCTATGGGATTATACATTATTTCTGGTGAGACCTTGATGGACAGAATACCATCATGATAGGTCGTCGAAACCATGGTCATTTCTCGTACTGAAGTCAGTTCTCTTTCTTTGATGGTTGGAAGCTCTGTTCCTTTCACCACCCCAGGGAATGCAAGCAATATTCTTATATTCATATAGTCTAGCCTGGGCACTGGTTCCTGTTGCCAAGACGGTAACAGTTCATGGCTAGCTCAGAGCCTTCAACGATGGATTTTCAGGAGTGCAATGCTAAGAGCCAGATTCAGATCATATATAACATGCCAAGCAAGAGGGGAGCTGAGTTTTATTGTCATGCCTTTGTACAGGAGCTAGACTACCACTTTCAGCTCTTCACTCCCTTGCACCAGATATTATTACACAGGGGAAATAGAATAGAATGCAGCCCGAGTGAAACAGAAGAGGTCAATTGAACAGCTAAATGAATTCCGACGGGCTACGCGGTGCCTCTCCACCTCCAGCGCAGAAGGTAGAGTGCCTAGAAGCTTCTAGAAGCCAAAGCTCCATGAAGCTCGCTCTCGACTGGATTCCTTTCATGTTTTTGCCACCACCTAAACGCCTGGCTTCAGCAGGTCGCATTCTTCGATCTTGGCAAACCTCCCTCGCACTCTTGGCTGGCTATCTGCCAGAGCCTTCCTGCAAGCATACTGCAAAGAAAAACGTTGTATCTGTTACCATCCGAGGCGTGCACTCATGAGGCTAAGCCTAGAAGCTGGATTTTTACAGTGGCTGAGAACAATACCTTGATCTTCCTGCCAAAGTTCCGCTTGATCTTCTTCTTTCTATACCTGGAAAGCTTTTGCTTCCTTTCTTCGGTCTTGAGGTCACTGATGGTTACAAGCCTCTCACAAGACGTTTGAGCATTTGCTGGGTGCGCTGCTGGTCGAGGCGTGTTGGCTCCAAGGTTCTGTCAAAAATGGAAATCTTAAGTGCCTAGCAAATTGCTGCTGCACAAGCATCTACCAGATATAGATGTTCTATCTGCACATTCCTTGAACACAGAATCGCGACAACACATGTACTGAGGTGATGGAACCGTACCAATATCTTGCACACAAAAGTAGCTTGAAAGAAAACAGAATACTGTGCAGAATAGGAAAGCTTGGATCAGCTAAAGTAATGACCTAAAAAAAATAAAAAAGGTTGCTTTGGGCAGATATAGTAACATCCCAAATGGGTGTCATAGCTTGGACGGCCTTTGAGCAAAGCATTTCTGTAAGCATGGCCAGGGCAAGGGAAAAGGCAATGCTTTTTGGTTTTGGTTTGCTTGTCAACGATTCTTTCCTCAACAGCTGTGTTACAGAAAAGACTTTTATGCTGTAAGTGCGTTCTTTTCCTCATAACGAGGATAGCTACTTCCTTGTTACTAGAATAGAATAGTACAGGAGAAAAGGAGATGCTTATCAAACCTGAATGTCTCCTTCACTGTAAGCTCTCCTCAGCCCAAACGCTGCCTCAAAGTCGAGCCCTTGGAAGTCTAGAAAGTTTGGCCTGACAGGTCCATTCATCCAATCTGCTGAGTTGAGGCATCCAGAACTAACACTTTTCTGGAGCGAGCATTCAGGAACGGCTTGCTTCTCTTTCTCCATGGCCGGGAGTTGGGTCTGTATAAGAACTTGTTCAGCTTGGCTTGGGATTTCTTCAACCTGCAGCATAGGAATCTTAACATCCATAAGTTCAGAAATCGTCTCTTCGATTGCAGACATCTCCATGAGTTCCTTCTCGCACTCATATAACACTTCACTCAGGAGAGGGTCATTTTGGATGGTGCTGATGCCTGCATCCTTAATAGTTTGTTCCATTGCACTTTCATTGCCAGTCATCATTGAAAAGGCAGCTGCGACAGCATCAAGGCTGAGCAGCGGTTCTTCAATGATGGCTTCTGGAGCTTTGAACAGGTCCCCTTCTCCTCCGAGGTCATATTCTGATACCATGGATGGCTGTACCAAGTTCCCCTGTCCAGTAATTAATAAAACAGAGATGAGAACAATTTCCAATGGGCTAGAAGATGATAAACACCATAGAAATTAGAAGCAGAGCGGTATATGAATGAAACCCGACGAGTTGGTAAGGACGAGGCAGTGTATATGTCTAAATAAAATGTTAGTAGGATGAACAGAGAATGAAATAATCTTGCTAAGATGCTAGTATCTGCTAATAATAATATATTTTGTGGTAGATCACCATTGCCAATGCTTTGTTTAGTTTGGTTTTGTCGTCTGTATTGACCTGCTGTGTGAAGTTGCAGGGATAGACAAGTCCTTTGAGGGGTAGGACGTGTAGTAGCAAGTATCGGCTGACGCACGTGGAAATCAACTACTGTAATAAAAAGTCCCCATCGTGCTCTGGGAGCATATACTAGTGGACATGGTCGGGCATATTAGCAGTAAAGAAAAAAAAATTGAAATCCAGGGCAAAAACTGAACTGAATGCTGAACCAAATTTGGCCCCTATTATAGCAGAGGGGACACTAAATATCTGAAACCGTGTGGCCTTTGTGTGACTTGGAAGATGTGAAAGTCAGAAGGAGAAGATTCAAAACAGAAAGCACCCCGAAAAAGTTGCAGCCAACACGAGTGATTCTTATTCAGAAATAATCTATTAGTATTATAGAAGGAAGAAATAAATAAAAAGATAAATAACTAAACCACAGGCGTCATGTACTTGAATGGGATCTTTCGTTTAGCAATTTTTTGGAAGCAAAAGCATACGAAAATTCAGAATCAGAAAGGCAGCAACAAATATTATAGCTAGTAGTGTTGTAATTGACTACTTCCTTTTCTATTTGCACATGAAATGGAAGATGGTTTATTTGGTCAGAAGGCTTTCCATCAGGTGATCATGTAGAGTATTATCTAATAGCAAGCAGGACAGGAAGAGGCAAATGTTTTATGCAGAAGACAAGTCATGCTTAATTTGTGATGAAAAAGAAAAAGAAAAAGAAAAAGAAAGGAGGGCTGAAGCTGATATTGCAAATAAAGCCATGGATTGAAGAGAGAATCCAACTAACAAAGGGCTGTAAGTTGTTTCTTCTACTTGTAGATGACATGTGCACACATATATAGTATTATTACTCTTACCAAGTAAGCACATATATATAATTATATATATAGTATATGATAAAAATACAAGCAGAGCGGGGAGTGGGGGCGAAAAAGAAAGGAAAGCGACATTTTTTTTTGTCCCTTTCCGATTGTGGGGAGACGGCGGCGGCGCATAAACAGCTAGCAACTCTATTCACCAGAAATTTGTGCATCCACAGAAGAGGAGAAATTTGTTAATCTACTCTTATTTGGGAATTCCTGGAAACAGAGATCCCTACTGATTCCACGAAACAGAGCAAGAGAACCCTAGTAGTGAGTTCATCTGTGGGGGGAAGCAGGAAAGCGGGGACTGATGGAGCAACCAAGAAACAGCAGCAGTTTTGGGTGCAAGAGGAGGAGAAGCGATCGAGAGTGGACCGGAGGGAAATGAAACCGCAAATCCGCAATCAAGAAAGAGGCAGCAAGCAGAGTTGTGGTAGTAATTGCTCACCAGGTGCGCGGAGGAGAAGGCGTAGTCGAATGGCGGCGGCTGCTGGGGCTGCGAGGAAGCGAGGGCGGGGGAGTAGGCGTCGGCGAAGCCGAACCCGGCGTCGGCGTACATGGTGGCTGGCTGGCTGCTTCAATTCGGCGTGTGCGGTGAGCGATTTGGCTGGCTCTCTCTGTCTGTCTCTGGGCAGGGCAGTCGGCAGTGAGATCTAGCTGTATGTTGAGTTGAGAGTTCACCGCGTGAGCTTGTTTGTCCTGTGGTGGTGGCTGTGGCGGCGGTTTGTTAGAGGAGAGCAGCCTCAGCCGTCAGCCCTCAGCAGCGTGGGAGGGGAAGGGAAGGGGCGGTTGGTTGGTGTTGGTGACGGTGTCTGTGTCTGTGTTTTTACCTCCTCTCCTCTCCTCTCCTCTCCTCTCCTCTCCTCAGCAGTCGGCTGGGCTGTGCTGGCTACGGCGCCCACTCGACTGCTACCGCCCAGTGGTGCCTAGTGGTAGGGCGGGCGGCGCAGGGCCGGAGCAGAGGCGGAGCCGGAGCCCGGAGGCGAAGAGAGAGGTGCACTGGTGGCCTGGTGGGTGGTGGCACAGTAAGTAACATGCATATGCCTGCCACTGCCACTGACGATCGCACGCAGGTACGGTACAGGGGGCGCCCCACTCGTGATCGTGAGCACGGGCACGGCCACCA